ATCACAGCAAACCGGTGTTGATTAAGAAAGAATGAAAAACAAAACATAAGGTGTTTCTGGGGTATAGTTTTTATTAAAATACGAAACTATAACAACATTTGATATGTAGTAGTTTCATGTTTGTAGATGCAGATCGTCCAGGTTAGTATAGTCCTGAAAGGGACTGCTTTGTTGTTTAATGAAGCTGATTAACTTAGCGATAGTCATCTTCAGAGTCAAATTAAAACCTGAAGATGACTACCGCTGGTTGTCGAGAAACGTCAGTCAAAAACAGTCCTTCTGAGGACTATACTAACCCGGATGATCTAATCACAAACATGCAACGATATTCCCGGGTTCAAACCATTTACTTTATTTGATATGTTTGATGTATTTTCTTGTTATACTGTCATCAGCCAAGCAAATGTTCAATGTCTTCGCAAAAATCTTTACGTACAATTTGCTTGTTTTTAGCGAGCATGTATAATCGTTTACGTGTTTTTCTTTCTTGGTTTTGAGTGTTCTTCCTTGAGTGAATAATGTTTATCGTTAACAGTATTTCACAGACTGTTAACGACAAATATTTCTTGCTGCTGGCAGCGTTGCATGTATTTTAGTTCAACGGTATTGCTAAGATAAAATTGTATTATTTGAAATTTGCATATTTTAAAAGAGATAACCAAAGTACAATTATACAAACGAACTTATATACATTATAATTTGGTATCATATAGTAACTACCAGGTAGAACCAGGAAATGATAAAAAGTAGCTTTATGTAAAAGGAAACATGAAGTGATATGTAGGAACCGAAGATGATACGTGTTTTTAGTAGGGTAAAAAAATCGAAATTTGGCCAATAGATCTCAGGCCTTTTATTATGTTAAACCATTGAGACAGTATACTAAATATAACAGTACAGCCATTCTATTGAATTTTTCATGTCCTGCATATATTATTAGCGCATGTGATTACCATAATGACACAATAGGAATTATGAAATGACTAACGACAGCCATTAATCTAATTAAATAAACAGACAGTTGCACAGCGAACTGGACCTACTGTATATTTCTGTATGTGCCAGTGAACCAAAAATTGAAAGTCTACGTCTGTGGAAATTTTATGCCAGTAGAGCCCAGTCTTCGCACGCAATGTAAGCATGATGGAAACGAAAATTCGAAACGCATGGTGGCAGCAACGTAACATGGCGCATGCGTGCTTGCGCCTATTGACCATCAAATTCATAAGCACGCATGCGCCCTGTTATGTTTTTGCTACGATACGTTACGATACGTATAGTGGAAAAACAGGCTTTAGAATGAATGGGGGCGCGATAAAAGAGTGAGCACTGCTAAAGATCGACTCATATTTTGCAGTAATTATGCTGCATTGCATTTCTTGGTTTTAAAACAAATGAAAAGTTAAAATAAAAGGAGTTGAAGACCTGTAAACCAAAAGAGGAGTGGATTACTTGACGGAAGCAACGCAAAAAGATGTTTTTTGTTTCACAAGGTAAATTTTTTTTATTTTTTAGCGCTATGGAATTTAGACAAACAAATTTTTAATATTTCAAACACGTTGCAAATTCGTGAAAAAAGAATTCGGCAATTTGTTTTAAATAGCGAGATCTTTGACTCGAAGCTCCAATTTCGTATCCTTATTAGGTATCCTCCAAAATTACGATGAAAAGAAAAAAATAGTTCAAGAAATCGATTGTGACAATATTTACTATTGTATTTGCGTATAATAAAAACAAAAAAGTCAAAAAATCATAGTTGCCCACTGTATCGTAACATCAGGGAATCGATTTTGCCCTCCAAAAATGTGTGCCGTATTTTGGAGTATAGATTATATTCACTGATTATATTACGATGCCACCTCTAGTATTGTTTATAATCTCTATGATCGACAACACCACTGGTCAAACTCATACACAGTTGTAAGTTTGAACATTCTGAACAAATACTAAAGCAATAAATTTTCTTTTTTCTCTGTCATTAGTAAAATACTAAAACATTTATTTCTCCAGTAATTTATTATAATAATCAAAGGTTATATGAACATTGTAAATTTACATATTCATATTTTAGTAGTGTTTAGCTTTAATATAAACAAATTTTACTGAGTTATAATGTTCTGATTATTTAGAGAATAATTCTGTGCTTATAAATACTTTTGTCCAAATGGTAAAATTTCAGCAATGACTACAAATCGTGGTTTATTCATTGAAGGAAGATATGTCCATGAAGAACTGATTCCCATTTTAAAACACTCCACTGATTTAAGATAGTTAGGAGTACCACTTTACCTCCCATGACAACAATTGTATCACCAGTTATAACTGCACAACACTGTCTCTTTTCCAACATGGATGGTAAGACTGTAATCTTTCCTGTATTACTATTACATGATAACACTGTTAAACGCTTTTCTTTTCCTTCATCAGAACCTCCAAGAAGAACAACTTGATCTCTCCATTGAACTGTTGCCATGTCAGTCAATGGATGAGGTAATGGAGGCATTTCCTTAAATGTAAGAGTCATTGGATCAAACTTCAAAACACTGGACAAAGCTTCATGATCTTTTCCCCGTCCTCCAAAAATAAGAACTTTATCATCAACAACAACAGCTCCATGGTCAAATCGTGTTCAGGCATACGACACAACTCTTTCAAAATATAAGATGTTGTACCTGTAATCTTTATTTCACTGATCAAATCTGATGGTCCTTTGTTCTTAATAAGTCCTCCAATGTGAAAGATTTGTTGATTACAAACAACAGTTTGATGACTCCAATATACATAAGGAAGCTCTGTAGGAAATTTCCTCCATGTCAAAGGTAACTTTTTTACATTCAATGTCTCCATTGACTTGCAGTTAAATCCTCCAACAACAAATAAATTATCCTTATAAATAAATGATGAAGCCCAACTGTGTCCATTTTCCATTGATGCAATCTCAAACCATTTCCTCTCCTTAAATGAAAATACTTCAACACTTTTTGCGGTCCAAACACATGAGTCACCTCCAGCAACCAAAATATCACCTTTTACTGAGTATGTCAACATTTCAATTGATGTTGCCAATGTTTGAACATGTTGTTCATTTATATTCATCTTTCCAATATTTGAAACATCATGGCTTTCTATTTTCATTTCTTTGGTCACTGTAGAAAGATTTTGTTGAACATCTTTATTTCTTTCCTTGATTCCATCATTTCTTTCTTTGATTCCATCATTTCTTTCTCCATTATTTCTTTTGTAGACTGACCAGATCATTAATTTTATTTATTTCAGTTCTATCTTGATCCATTTTTCATTTATTTTAACCATCAGCTTTCATTTGATCAAAACTTTTTGAAACATTTCTCTAATCTCTTCAAAGTCGTGAGAAAGAATCTTTCTGTATTCACATAACTCAGTTTCATGTTTAATCTTGTCTCGTTTGTTTATCTCCTTGTCACAACGTTCATTAGAACATAACACTGGAGCAAAACCACAATTTTCAACATGTCTTTCAAGATCTTCAACGTTTACAAATTCAGGACAACCACGATTAGCGTGGTCGCAGCTGATCTTAAACTTTGAAATCAAGTTGTTTACAAACGCGCTGGAAGAAGTTTGATACAGTCAATCTCTCTTGACATTGAGGACATCTTTGTGCATTAACTCAGATGTTCTTCTATACATTTACGACAAAAGATGTTCATTGTGGCACATTCTGGCATCTTTTATGACATTGAGACATATTGGGCAATAAAATTATCGTTGACAGGGCTTTCAAATCTTGATTCATCATATCCATATGAATCGTAATTATTAGGACGAAGCCATTTTCATACGTTTTCCTATATAATTCAGGATCAAAATTAATCCAAGAGTAGACGAAATTATTTGTTTATCGCATCAAGTTGAAGATAGAAAATACGTTGAAAATCTCCGTCGACGTTTGATAAACACGGAAGTTAAAAGCGAAGAATAACAACGCCTAGTTTTAGATTTTAACATATTTATGTAAAGCAAAGGAAAACAAAAGATAAAAAGAAATAGTGCAATGAAGCAGATCTACAAAAGACATGCTAAACAATATTTTAAAACATACGTACAATGTGCACACGTGCTTTGCTTTTCATACGCTGTCGGTTGAATAATTTTAACCTGCTATCCATGCCTTCATCACATACACATCAATAAACTTTTGATCCATTTTTCCATTAATTTCATTCATCTGCATTTTCACTTTGTCAACATGAAACATAACTTCGTTGAAACAATTCTCTAATCTCACCAAAGTCGGAGCATCAATATTTCTGTATTCACATAATTCAGTTTCATGTTTAATCTTGTCTCGTTTATCTCCTTACCACAACGTTCATTAGAACACAACGCTGGAGCAACACAATTTTCAACATGTCTTTCAAGACCTTTTAACGTTGATAAATTCAGGACAACCTCGATTTGCGTGGTTGCAACTGATCTTTAACTTAGAAGTCAAGTCATTTATAAGACTTGCTGGAAGAAGTGTATATCTACAGTCAAATTATCTTGACATTGAGGACATCTTTGTGCATTAACTCGTAGATGTTCTTCAATTACAATAACGAAAAGATGTGTTCGTTATGTTGACACATTCTGCATCCTTAACGACGTTCAGGCAAATTGAACAGTAAAAGTTTCAACAGCATTCTTAAATCTTGACTCTTCCTATCCACTTTCACCTTAGGACGACAAGCCATTTCATATATCTTTACATATAATTCAGTGTTGAAATTAATCCAAGATTTGAAATTATTCGTTTATCGACAAGTTGAAGATAGAGAATATATTAAAATTTTCAGTCGACATTTGATAAACACAGAAGTCAAAGGCAAAGATTAACAACCCCTAGTTTTGTATCATTTATATGTAAAGCAATATAAAGACAAAAAAGATAAAGTTGTAATTATTCTAGCAGGGGGGAGATGAACTGTAACGTCACTGATTATAATTCAATCTGCAAGTTTATTAGACTTTGCCATTGCAAGTAATTTTGTGTGGAATATTTCATACTTTGCTCAGGTTATTCGTTTTGAAATCAGGTATGTAATTGCATTTTTTTCATCTATGTTATGCTAAAACCTACTTTTGTATTTCTGTTGCGATTAGGATAAAAACTAAATAAATGATCAAAACATTCGCACAGAAATTCATGAGAAATTGCATAGAAACAGTCTGTATTGGCTATATTTGATGAATCCTTTTCCTTTAATTGCTTTAAAATTCCAGTAAATGCCTGCTTTTATGTTTTCATTCAACGCAGAAGCTGATGTATCAAATTGTGCTTCGGTCAGAACAAATTGAAGGAAATGCTTTCCATGCTTTACTAATTGTGTTTGAAACTTTGCACGTAAAAATCAACGATTTTAAAGTGAAATATGTAGAATGAAGTTCTTATCATGTAGTTATCTACACGAACTCTAAGCATTTGTTATCGACATTGAGCATTTAAGCGAGTGTCAATTGTATGCTTGAATTGTAGATAATATAGAACTCTTCTAGGTTAGCTGAACATGTAAAATGAGTATTTTATATCTCTAAATTTTAATTAATAAGGATATTTACCAAGTAAAAACGCTAAGTTCTTTAAAATAACATTAAATAACATGTGAACAAAAAGCTTTGATGGTATAGACATCAATAATTGACTTGAATTTGAATTTATATTTGTATTTATTAAACGTGAACTCTTTTTGTAACAAATATGGTTAAATTACAAAGGTTCTAACTAATAAAAACCATATAACTAATACTATAAGTACATATTTTTATACAAACAATATTACATAGCTATTCTCCTTAGAACTATACTACCAATAAAACAATTTAAACTGGTATCTACTTACTTACTCAATTCATACTGCATAAAAAGGCATTTTAAAACGTTCAGTCTTAAAACAAGAATGTTTGTAAGATCCACAACTTCTGCATATCACCATGAAGAGTATTCTCTTTAATGAAAGATCATGTGACAGCACGTAGACTGAAATTGTTTTATTATGGCTAGCTTTTCAATTTGCTATCACTGGTTTTAATGTGCATGAGGAAGACTACATTTGTATATATTTAGAACAAGTATCATCATGAATGAATATTGATTTTTAAAGCAAAAAATGTTTGCCCCTTTTTAGTGACGAGCTGCCAAACATCACTGAATCATTATTCTGCTGTATGGCCATTGCAAGAAGAGACAAAACGTAAATCTGTAATCATTAAACGATACAAGCCATCATTTTAGAAACAATTTGAAACATATATGCACAAAAGATTATGTTTGATACATTATGCAACATATAGGTATTTAGAGTAAGAAGTTTTGCCAATACTACCTACTATATTTAGGAAAAATTTAGCAATGTTATTTGGGTGAATTTAGGTTTCATACTTCCCTTATTTATATAATACTTGGGTAACACTATCCTCTGTTTTTTATCTTATAAAACTACTACTAAAATGGTTTCATTTGTTTAGATGGCCTGATTGACCAATTAGGAATGCTGCTCATCATAACAAAAGCTGAAAATCACATGGCTCAATTTGAAACATTCATGCTCCCCTATGTTTGGATAAGGCCATACAAATACTGAAATGGTTTAATCACTTGAGCAGGCAAAGTGTACTTTAGCTGGCGGCTTGTTCTATGTAGTGCTTGTCTTACTGACACTTTTTAAAATATAAATTGTAGAAATGCTGTCATGGGCTCCTGATGCTGAATGCATCACATCTCTAGCTGGTGTATAAAGACAAAAGAAGGTATTTCTTATATTTTATTTTATCTGTAATTATTCAAGTAATAATATGTTCTTATGAACAAGATACATAATGCTATTTTTTTATTTTATTTTATTTCAAATCATAATCAGCTAGAAATGACATGTAGCTACAACCATCCTGTTAGATAGTGTACTATTGTAGGTGCATTTAATTATTTCAAGATAATTTGTAATGTAATTAGTAAAAAATTGGTTTTAAACAACAAAAGTTAAAAAAAAAGAGTATGTGATTTTCTTGCTTTGTTTAAGTTTTAAGTTCTTTAATAAAATGGTTAAAAATGTAAAGTCATCGCTTTTGGCATGATAATTGCAAAAATATGGTACTGGGCCAATATCACAGAAATAAGTATATTTACGTACAAAATATAATTTTTTGTGAGGCAAGTTCGTTTTTTCAGGCGCAGGTTACTGCACCAATCACGGATGTTATCACAGGCCTTTGAATTGTGTTTTAATTACACTTTTGTCTTTCAGATGTTCCTGAAATGTTGAGTGAGAACGATGTGTCCAAAATATATTCTGATGATGAAGATTCTGATGAAGATGATTTTGATCACAATTTCACTAGAGGATTTCTTGACGGCTTTACCGTATCGCAAAGACGTCACTGAAAATTAAAACAGTAAGTAAAATCCACTTGAGGCTTGTAATAATTTTTAAAAAAATGCTTCAGGAAGGTTTCTTGTCCAAGCATAAGATACATTCAATTATAAGTTGTATTTACATTTTAAAAGTCGTGAAGTATAGCTACGTAATTAGGCACGACAAACGTTTTCTGTAAAATATAGAATGAATTCAACCATTTCTCGCACTTATGATTCAAAGTGAAGTGACTTCTAAAAGCAGGTTTAATTGTTCTGAAAAACTTTTTATTGGTTTTTGCTTTTAAAACATGCGAATATGAAATTTCAGTTGTGATACAACGCTATATTTTAGTAAAAATCACAAAGTTTACTGAAAATAAATGTCTTTTCCTACTTGATGTATGTTCTAAATAAGGAATTATTGTTTTGTAGATTTTCTTGGATAAATTATTGGTGGGATATCATTCGCCAGAATCGCGTTTTATGTGATCATATAAAGGAGAGAAAAATGATGAAGATTCTTTGAAGAATGAGATCAACCCAAATTTGGTTGAAAAGGTCTGATTATATTGATTTCGTCATGCCAATATTGCTAAATAAATTTTGATTAGCATATTCAAAATTAAGACAGTAGATAATCATATACAGTACCGCTCATGTATTTGTTTAACAAAATTTTCTGTATGATACGCGTATCGTTTTCGTATCATACGCGTATCGTTCTGCATCATACGCGTATCGCTCCCTCGTATCATACGCGTATCGTTCCTCGTATCATACGCGTATCGCTCGTATCATACGCGTATCGTTCTCGTATCATACGCGTATCGTTCTCGTATCATACGCGTATCGTTCCTGTATCATACGCGCATCTGCCTCGTATCATACGCGTATCGTTCCTCGTATCATACGCGTATCGTTCTCGTATCACATGTATCGTTCTCGTATCATACGCGTATCGCTTCGCATCATACGCGTATCGC